ATCGAGTTCCTGGTGCTACGCTGGTCCAGAAGCGCCACCTTCGAAGCCCGACCGCTCCCTCCGCCGGAACGGAATCCCCCTTCTCGCCGACGCCGGCCGTTCCCCTCCACAAAGGTGTGAGCTCCGCCGCCATGTCGCGCCGCCGCGTCGCAAGGGCACAACGGTTGGCGAAACCGAATGTGCACCCCCACATAAAGCTTTACACCTCTGGAACTTCAAAATCTTTACACCCTATGCTCCTCCAGTTTGGATCCAAGAGATATTTTTTTAGCTCTCTCTTAAATAGTCTAAATAACTTAAAAAGATCAAAAGGGTGAACTATTTGAGGGCTATTTGAAAATAACCCACCAAAAAAATTATCCCATTCAAGAGGTGCTAATTGGGGCTATTTCGGGTGGTGCCCACTGAAAAAATGTTTTTTTTTCTCTCTATCTCTCTCCATGGGAAGGTACATTAGGCTAAATAGTTCTCAAAATAACCCACCCTTGAATCAAATAACTTAGGACTATTTTATTGAATGACAATTTTCTTGTATTAAAAAATAGCTCTCAAAATAACTTTTGGCTAGTTCTCCAAACAGGGCCTATGTGATGTTACATTAAACACCTACTAATTATGGATTAATTAGGTTTAAAAAATTCATCTGTTGGATTAGCTCTTATCTATACAATTAGTATTATTATTGGGACATTTAACTCCGTGCCACTTTTAAGATGTGACAATTAATTATTTGCCACTCGCTGTTTATTACATGTGGGTCCTCATATGTATATGATATGTGGCTCCAGTGGTAAATAATTTAACACTACTTGTAAGAGTGACAAATAGTTAATTATTCCATTATTATTAGTCTATGCTTAACAGTTCAAATTAGTGTCAAGCATTTAATGTGAGATTTAATGTGAGAGGAGGTTAACACCTGGAGACAAACACCCAAATCTTCCGTGGGCCCGCCACAATTATAAAAGGACCACTTGCTTCTCTTCTTCTCTTCCTCAGACACTCCTCCTTCCCTCCCATCTTTTGTCTCCCTTCTCCTTCCATCCCATCAATGGCGGTTGCCGTGCGCACCGCAAAAATTTTTGAAGGGAAGGACCCAGTAAGATGGCTTAGCAATCTGTATGATTTCTACAACAAAGCCGCGAAGCCGGAGCAGGGGGAGTCAGGCGGCGGCGCCGACGAGCACCAGCGCCGCGTTGCCGAGGTGCTTGAGGCGCTCCGCCTCCCTCCTGTCGAGGCGGTGAAGTTGCGCGAAGTGCTCGAAGGGCACCGACTCCCAGACGATCCAGCGCCGCCGTCGTGGATGGAGTTTATCGAGGTTCCTTCACCTCCCCCAAATCTCGAGTACGGCGTCGACCTCACAAACTACCTCGGCGCCGTCGGCGACGAGCCAGAGCAGACATGGTGGGCTGCGCTTGCGGCTCATCGCTGGGTTTTTCTGTTTGGCGGGTTAGCCATTCTCGGGCTCTTTGGGTATGGCGTTTACTGGATGATAAAGCGGAGAAATCGCCGTGGAGAGGCGGCTCCACCCGGAGCAACCGGAGCGGATCCTCCAGACAATCCTCCTCCGGCCACCGCAGCAGCATCTGTTCAGGGGGGAGCAGATTCTCCGGCGCGCGGTGGACGTGGATCTCCACCACCAGCAAGCGAGCCCCCAGGAGGCGCGACTTCACTCGACGAGGAGGATGTTCCTCCTCAAGAGGTAACGTTCCGTAGCGCCGTCTAGTAGTGAACCTGTGAACTTGTGATGTGATCCGGTGCGATGGCGCCGACGGGTTTCAGAGAGCTATGCGTGTGCTTGTGATTTGGTGGGTTGCATTTGAATGAATTGTTGTGATTGATTGTGTGCTCGGTGCAGGTGTACCCTGAGGGGACTCAATTCATGATCCTGTTGTTCGAGAGGCCGATCATCTACGATGTCCGAGCCCGCCCCAACCTCGTCGAGAGCACTTCTGGAAGCCGTGATCTCCAGATGGTAAAATTCTGCTGTTGCACTTGGGGTTTGTGACTAGGTTATGTCGTTGAGATGATCATTTGTAGCATGTAGAAGGTGATCTGTTGGTTGTGATTTGCAAATGTTAGCAAAGTTGTGTGTGGAATGATCTTGTTGTGCTTGCTTAATCACTTAATTTGGGTCCCTATACTAGGACTTGTCGCTAAGTGATTCTTGTATGTAAGATGCTGCTTTGTTGGGTATATCTGAACTGCTTAGCATTTTCATTATGTGCTTAGCATTTTGAGCATGTGGGTGGTTTGTTACATTGGTTTAGAACCAACACTGATGTGTGATGTGTGTGATTAGCATTGCAATGTGTGTTATGCTTTGCATGCAATGGAGGCAGTACACTTTTTTTTTGACAGGCATTTAAATTCCGATTCCTCACAACTTAAAACTCTTATTGACCATACAAATTGGTTTGCTCATGTGTACATGTGTGCAAATTTCTTGTTTTATACCTTTGAATTCAAAGTAACATTGGTAGAGGTCAGTACCAACACATTTTTAGTTTGATACAATTTGATAACTTGGATAGGTGAAAATTGGTCTTCGTGTCCTTACAAGACCGTTACCAGAGAAGCTACCAACCATCTACAGGTCCCTGGGGGAGAATTTCAATGAGAGAGTTTTGCCTTCAATCATTCATGAAACACTCAAAGCGGTGGTTGCGCAGTACAATGCCAGTCAGCTAATCACACAGAGAGAGGTACTGTCATCATATCTATCTGTGTTTAAATATCTAATATGTTTCCATGGTATGCTATGCTAGTTTAAGAGCTAATATAGTAGGATATTTAGTTTAAGAGTTAATATAGTAGGATATATGCTAATAATTACTCCTTTATCCAACACAGGCTGTGAGCAGGGAGATTAGGAAGATCCTGACAGAGAGGGCTAGCAACTTCAACATTGCTCTGGATGATGTGTCCATCACAAGTCTCAGCTTTGGAAAAGAGTTCACCCATGCAATTGAAGCCAAGCAGGTTGCTGCACAAGAAGCTGAGCGTGCAAAAGTTCATTGTTGAGAAGGCTGAACAAGACAAGAGGAGTGCGATCATCAGAGCACAGGTAAGCAAAGATGCAATGGATTATTGCTGGTTTAGATGGCTTTCACCATATTCTTTGATAAGTTTACTACCTGTAGTTTTAGTGACAATTGTTAAGACATCAATGGCACTGTTTATTTCTTCATTGTTTCATATATTTTACTACCTATAGTTTTAGTGACAATTGTTAAGACATATCAATGGCACTGTTCATTTCATCATTGTTTTATATATTTCATTGTGTTTGGTGTGGGTTGAGTCTGACTGTGAGGTCTGCTTTGAACAGGGTGAGGCTAAGAGTGCACAGCTGATTGGTGAGGCGATTAACAACAACCCTGCCTTCCTCGCTCTCCGACAGATTGAAGCTGCCAGGGAGATCTCTCACACCATGGCAAGGTCAAACAACAAGGTGTATCTGGATTCCAAGGACCTCTTGCTTGGGCTCCAGCAGCTGAATGTGGACAGCAAAAACAAGAAGTGAAACAGTTTCTTGTCATCAGATGATCATAACAGTTTCTGATCATCAGTTGATCATTGTTGGTTTTCTCCATGGGAGAGTACTGAGAAAATCGCGTAGTCTTTAGCTTATGTCAGAAAAGGTTATCTGGTTTAGGAACTGAGATCAACAGGTGGCATCCTTTTTCATCATTGCATTTGAAGGAGTACTCGCAAGTGAAGTGGAGGTTATCATTTTTGCTGCTGTAAAAAATATAACTTGAATGCTCTATTCGATATCTTAGTTGCCATGGCCACTTTGCCAGTCCGTCTTTGTTATTTTGAGTTCTGTCGCGGTAACGCAGGCTGTGCCTCTAACATCTGGCTTGCTACATTTCATGCATGTTTCCTAATTCCTCTGCTAACTAGGCAGCAATGAGCATCGTATGGCTAGAACTTAACTGCCATTTTTTAAAATCGATCGGGGATGGTGTAAGTTCTGAATAAAAATGGGTGAAATCTAAATGTATGTTGATACAGGGCTGCAAGGAGATGAGGTGATGAATCGATGAAGGCACAAGGCAGGCTGCCCTGCAGGTGCTTGTTCAGCTGCAGCATTGGTGAATGGTGATGTCTAAGATTGAAATGTTACTACTAGAAAATGGGCTCTCTCCTTAATCTCCGTGGAGAACTTTAGAAGTTCAAAGTTTACTTTTAAGACGGATACAGAAGAAACCATTTAGAAATGCGCCCATCACTTCCTGCCATTCGGCATCCTGCGTGCGATTGTTTTCACTCCGTTGTATATGCTCAGACAATGTGAAAAAAAAGACCGACTATTCGCGTCCTGTTTTTTTTTTTAAAAAAAGAACCCGCTAAGTGTTGTAGTTCTAGTCATTGCTGATGAGAACGGCCGTAACGTGACACGTGAGCTACCTGATATACCCCCTTCTTCATCTACCAGCCCACTCAACTGCTTACTCGAGTGATGGATCCTTTGACTCTTTGAATAAATTTCTCCAAAACTTAAATAAAAGGAGCTTATGTAGACAATTTTCTGGTACAACAATATTTATATAACCACGTGGCGTGTCAAACTTTCTCACCATGGCTTTTTTTTTTCCAAAAAAATGGTTTCCTACCCACTCCAACTTAAAGTAAATTTATTTTTTTCTGTCTTCAACGTTTCCGTCGTCCGTCTCATTTAAAAACTTTATGAAAAATTAGAAAAATAAATAACGCATAAAGTATTATTCACATTTTATTATGAAATAAAATAAAAGTATTAGTTATAATTTTTTTTAAATAAGATATACAATTAAATGTTGAAATAAAAAACGAATTACGTTGGGACGGAGGGTGTACCATTCAACCACGCTCTCACTATATTTATGAGCATTTGTTTCGGTTTTTCGCATCCCTTTTGATCGATCGGAGCAGCTGGTCCTGGTAGGCGGTAGCCATGAGGACAAAGACGTTTGTGTTGTTCCCGTCTCTGGGGCGTCGGCCACCTCAACCCCATGGTGGAGATGGCCAAGCACCTGCGCCGCCGCGGCCTCGCCGTCGTCGTCGTCGCGGTGATCGACCCGCCCGACAACGACGCCACCTCGGCCGACGCGACGGCGCGCCTCGCCGCGGCCAACCCGTCCATCACGTTCCGCCTCCTGCCGGCGCCGCCCAGCCCGGACGCCGGCGCGCATCCGGCCAGGCGCGCCCTCGACACGCTCCGCGCCTGGGCCAATCCCGTGCTCCGGGAGTTCCTCCGCTCGCTGCCCGACGCCGTCGACGCCCTCTTGCTCGACGTCGCGGCCTACTTCTTCTTCCCCTCCGGGGCCAGCGCCCTCGCCGCCTTGCTCCACCTCCCGTATTACTACCCCGAAGCATGTGGAAATTTCGGCAGCAAAACACGAAACACGCCGCACGGCGCCTGCTCGCCTGCAACCAGGCCGAGGCTCGCCACGACCGCCGCGACGTCGTGGCGCGAGAGCCGCGCTGCGGCGACGTCATCCTCGCCGCCCCTCCGCCCGCAACGACGGAGCTGCGGACGCTAGCTGGACTGTTTCATGAGTCAGAAGGGCCGGGTTTCTCGGCGGTGTCGCGTCTGTGTTCTCTGTGGAGACTGGAGAGGCGCCACGTGGACGCGTATTTCTCTGTTCGACCCGTTCTCCGGCGTCCTCTTCGAAGCCGGCGCGCTCTGACTCCGTTGGCGAGGGGACGGAGCAAGGCGGAGTGGAGGAAGAAGGACGTGCCGAGCCGTACTTGTGTTGTCCCAGCCCAATGCGCTACGGCTCGACTCCGATATGATATCGACTTGACTTGTCAATGGACTCTATACTCCATAGTCCATACGGCCTAGCCTAGCTTTCCCAGCCTAGCTATCGTCGCCGCATCGTTCGATATACCAGTAGTAGTACAAGGTTAGTTCTTTCATCCCGTCTCTTCATCTTTGTTTCGATTTTAGGAATTATTTGCCTTCGTGTTTGAGATTAATCGATGTAGTTATCTTGCTGGATGATTTGATTTAAGCATGACAGCCTGCGAGCCCCGTACCCGGCCGCTGCGTGGTTAATTAGGTTGATCACCTCTAATTATATAGCATTTGCTCGCACAACCGCACCGAATCTACAATACAATCTCTTCACCGTATTGGAAGCGGCATCTATGGTCGATCGGCCAATTAGACCAGACGGTCACTCCATGAATTAATTTAACACTATCCGTGGAGTTGTACGGATATGCTTGGAACAAACCGAGAAACTAATAAATACTTCCTCCGTTAAAAAAAAACCCAAACCTTACCCTACGTTCTTTTACAACGGAGGGAGTTAACATCCTCGGAAAAATTTTCCTTTCGCCACTCAATCCAGTAGATTTTCTCTTCTACCATCAGAATTCAGATTTTCTCTTTTTTACCATTGTTCCGTCCACCGCTTGTTTTCATTTACCACTTCCGTTCAGTCAAACTTAATTGACCGCCATGTGCAGCAGTGGAAGACCAAATTGCCCCCAACATTGTCAGCGGGGCCTCCCAAAATTGGTCACTGCATGTGGACCAAACATGTTATGAACTATCCCAAATGCTTCAAGATGTGAATGCATGCATTCGATCTAATCATGAGTTGTGAAATAGTTTCACCTTGTGACATAAGAAGAATGAGCAGGTGCGACTAAGTGTGATTAAATACTCCATCCATTTCATATTATACAATGTTACTCTAAGTTTGACTTACTCTATAGGAAAAAATAGTAATATTTACAACCCTAACATAGTTCCATTAAATCTATAATTAAATAAATTTTTATAATATATTAGTCTTAGGTTAAAAATATTACTACTTTTTTCTACAAAATTAGTCAAACTTAGAGTAACATTTGATTCTTATTCTGTGATGAACAATTGGCATATGTGATTATTGGTTTTGATATTTGGAGAATTTTGGATTAGTGGTTTTGGATGATTGGATTTTGTCTAGTCTGGTCAGACCGTACAGGTGTTGCCGGTCAGACCGGCGCTATACGAGCGGTCAAACTGGCTTGCCCGCGGTCTGACCGGCCGACGCTGTGTCGGTTTCGGTTTCGGGTTGTTTCTTTGGATATCCGAGTTTGTTTCATGTTTATGGCTTCTAGATGGATACTATACGTATGTGATACTGTTGTTTGCTAATAATGAGTCAAGTTGGTGATAGCTTGGTCTCGGAATATGGTTTCTTTGTTTAATTCATATGTAGGTGACTCGACGCCTCGGGATAGTATTTGCGGTGATAGACCGGGAGTTGGCTTGGTGGTAAGACAATGTCCGTGATGGTCAGATATCATACGGGATACTTAGGCTAGAGTTGATGCACGTGGTTGGTGAAGATTCCATATGGTATACGATGGAGGTATTGTGTGCATATGGGATGTGGAGTCGAATTCGGAAGGAGTCCAAATTTGGTATGTTTGGTTATGTAAAGTTTGTTTCTTATATGAGAAGGTTTCCTAGGTGGTTTAGGACTTTGAGTATGAGTTTGGTTCGTGGCTTTAGGCTGCCTACCTCATGTATAAATAAAGAGGGAAGGCGTGGCTTCCCGGTATCTCTTTTGTGTCGCTTTTTAAAGCGTTATATTGATAGTTTAGTTAGGGTTTCGAGTTTAGTTGAGATTTTTGTAAGGAGTGCTGTTGTTGCACTTTGTAAACACAGAGAGAAGTAATAAAGTTGTCATCTACTTCGAGAGTTCTGCGATTTGTGTTTTCTTGGGTGCAGCGGTCCAACCGGCGAAACACCACCGGTCAGACCGACGGCATCGGACCGGTCAGAACGGTGGAGGATCGGCGGTCAGACCGGCGACCGCGTCGACAGGCAGAGGCGACTTTGGGACGTTCGGACCGAGTGATTTACACCGGTCAGACCGGCGGCACAGGCGCGGTCAGACCGGCGGATCAACCTCGGTCAGACCGATTTCATCGATTTGAGGGTAACTTTTATTTCCGCTAAAAGTTTTTGGGTTTTTGGGTATACCAACCATTCACCCCCCTCTGGTTGGCTTAGTTCTTGTGATTCGATCCTACAAGTGGTATCAGAGCCTTGTTTTCTTCTTTGGATTTTAACCGATCTAGAGTTTTTTTGCCATGGCTAACAAATTTTCAACTAAGCCCCATGTTTTCGATGGAACGGATTTTGCTTTTTGGTGTGATAAGATGCAATCTTACATTATGGCTGAATATTATGATGTTTGGCAAAAAGTTGCACAGCCATATGAAATTCCTGAACAGATTGACACTGTTGCTTTGAAAACTGAGTTTAATAACAATTGCAAAGCTCGTAATATTCTTTTGAGTGAAATTTCTCGTTCGGATTTTGATCGTGTTTCGCATCTTAAAACTGCCAATGAGATTTGTAACGCTTTGAAAAATTTTCATCAAGGAACTTCTAATATTAAAGAACTTCGTCGTGATCTTTTAAAAAATGAATACGTTAAATTTGAGATGAAACCTAGAGAAGCTTTAGATGATTATCTTTCTAGATTCAACAAAAGTTTGAGTGATCTTAGATCTTTTGATTCTTCTTATAACACAAATTATTCACAATTTGAGATTTCTCGTCACTTTTGAATGGTCTTGACATGTCTATTTGGGAGATGAAAGTTACATCAATTCAGGAGTCTGTTGATATGTCTACTTTGACTTTGGATTCGCTTTACACAAAACTCAAAACTCATGAGATGAATATTCTTACTCGTAAAGTTGATTCTAACTCTAGTGCTTTGGTTTCTTCTTTGACTTCTTTGAATGTTGGTGTTTCTTCATCGAGTTCTACTGTTTTTGCTTTATTTAATGCCATGTTCGATGAGCAACTCAAACAGTTCGAGGAGGACTTGGTTTTGGTTTCTAACAGATTTTTTCGAGCTATGAACAATGTCAGGAACAGGAAAAGAGGAGGTCCTAATCGTTGCTTCGAGTGTGGTGCACTTGATCATCTTCGTTCGTATTGCCCTAAGCTTGGGAGAAGCAAGAAGGAAGACAATGGTAGAGTCAAGGAGGATGAAGTGGACAAGAAGAAGATGACGAAGGAGAAGAAGAAGAATTGCATGCAGATGCTAATCCAAGAACTCATAAGAGTTTTTGATGAATCGGAAGATGAAGATGAGAGCAAAGGTAAGCAAGTTGTTGATTTAGCTTTTATTGCTTGTAATGCAAATTCTGATGTTGATGAATCTGATAGTGATAGTGAAGAAAAGCTTAGTTATGATCAATTAGAACGTGCTGCTTACAAATTTGCTGAAAAACTTTAAACATGTTCTATTAGGCTTGATGAGAAAAATCACACTATTGAGATTCTAAATGCTGAAATTGATAGATTAAAGTCTTCGATTCCTAATGATGATGAATGTAAATCTTGTGAAGTTTTATTTTCTGAAATTAATGCTTTACGAGATGTCAATTCTGTTAATTGCTTGAAATTGGAATCTGAGATTGAAAAATCTAAAAAATTGGAATTTTCTTTTGCTCTTGGATTTGCTTTACATGCTCGTGTTGTTGATGAATTGATTTTGACAAAGAACGTTTTGAAAAAAAATACAAAGTTGCTTTTTGTGCAAGTTTTTTTGTTCAATGCTTCATGTGCAAATAGGGCTTTACAAAACAAAGATGCTTTGATTTATCAAGATTGCTCAAAGTGTATTTTGAATGAGATGAAGTTGAAAGGTGCTTTAGGGCGGGTTAAACACATGGAAGATATTGTTAAACAAGATGAGGAATTTTCTCGCTCAACTTGTAGAAAACAAAAAGGTCTTTTGGATGCTTGCAAAAATTGTGCTACTCTTACTCAAGAGGTTTCTTACTTAAAAAGTTCTTTGCAAAGATTTTCTGATGGTAAAAAGAACCTCAACATGATTCTTGATCAATCCAAGGTTAGCACACACAACCGTGGTTTAGGTTTTGATTCTTATACTTATCATACTAGACACCCTCCTATTATTTTAGGTGCTGCTAGAAAAGGTGAAATTTTGGTTGAATCTGAGCCTAAAAACACTGTGTTTAAATCTGCTGGCATCATGTCTACTTTGAATGCATCTTCTTCAAAATCAAATGTTGTGCATGCAGTTGCTACTTGTGTTGCAAAACCATGAATTTCAAAACCATCTACTTCACAAACTTGTCGTGAGAAGTACACTTGTTCTTTTTGTGGAAAAGATGGACATTTAGTTGGTTTTTGTTTTCGACTTGCCCGTAAACAGAAAAAAGACAGAGAAATTGCTTTTGCAAAACGACGATGGCAAAAATCGAGTTTTGGTTCACGGAGCACGGTCAGATCGACAAGGACCAGTCGGTCAGACCGGCCGGCAGTCAGACCGCAGGTGTATCGGCGGTCAGACTGGCTGCCTGCTAGGCCCGGTCAGACCGTAGGTACAGCGGCGGTCAGTCTGGCCTTAGGGCAGTTTTGTGCATAATTCAAATCGGACTCCTGTGAAGCGTCCAGGTAAGTTTTCAGGTAAGTCTGATTCTGATTTTATAAGTGCATATGTACCTACTGGTTCCACTGGTCGTGTGACTCAATATTGGATTCCAAAAT